GCTCACTGCCGATGGCTCTTCATTCATTTCAGAGGGCGTTAGCTAAATTAACAATGAAGAAGTCAGCAAAGGGCGGAGGAAGTAAGAGGAGAGGGTTCCGGAAGGAGGGGACAGAGAAAGAATAGAGAGAAAGAAAAATACTACTTTTTAGGATTTGTTTATTCTGTGTGTGTGTGTGTGTGTGTGTGTGTGTGCGCGCGCACTCGCGCCTGCGCACAGGCCAACACATGCATTTTAGAGGACAGAGACACTTGCAGGAGTCAGTTCTTTCCAACCACGTGGGTCACAGACCCTGAACACAGCTTGTCAAGTTTGACTGCAAGCACCTGTGCTTGCTGAGCCATCCCGCCGCCCCCACCCTGCTTTAGAAACAAACATCAATGGGCTTTTAAGCAATGGCGATTTGGAGAATGTTCCCAACTTCTCACATTTGGAGCCCGTCGATACCTGCAACCTATCACAAGGAGACGGGGTCGTACCTGGGATCTAATCCACTCACCTCACACGAGAAGAAGCTCCTTGGCTTCCCACTGGGGTCCCTCTTTCTACCCCTGTGAGAAGTGACTGTGAAACCCCACTATTTAGAAACGAGGGTTTTTTCACTTTCAGATTTTTAGCCATGACAAAATAGGCTGCATGTATACATGCGTGTATAATTCGGACACAAAGGAGTTGGCGGGGTCTGTGGCTGTGGGAATGACGGTAAGGCGGTCCTTGAGGACCCCCTTAGTAACTACAAGGAGCAGTGAGCTTTATCGACGGTGCCTCCTGCCGTCAGCATCCCTTCCTCCCCTCTTAAATGCCAGCTATGAAAGGCTGTCAAGTTTCTCCAGCACTCCATATGTTCCATAAAAGCAGCCAAAGAGATAAGCAGTCCTGACCTGCTTGGAAAGAGCAAAGTGTTACAGCTGGTTGCTTCTGGTGCCTTCCTCACTGGGTTACAGTTCTGAAGCTGCAGAAATGGAGATGGAATCCGGGTGTGGACCGAGACACTCCCTGGAGCACCCCTGCAGGCCGGCCACTCCACAGGGCTGAGATCCAGGACGCGGCTGACACGCGCTCTAGGGACTTTGATAAAGGTCACTGCTCTCATGAGGGACTGAACAGTGCCACATTTTCTCAAGACTAATAATGCTATCTCAATACTCTCGCGTATTAACCCACAAGCTTCCTTCCCGAAGACTCAACGGGTACGCAGCTTCCTTGGGAGATTTAACCTAACAGTTCATGCCATGCAATTAGCATTGTTCTCCACCAGACACCATCCTGAGAATATGGTCCCCCTTAACACTAACATTTAAAGGTAGATAATATAAAGCCCACTGTATAGATTTTGGAAGCCCGGGTGTGCTAACTGGCTTTGGTTTTCAGCCTGACAGCTTAGAGCCTGTTGCTGTGATAAAGCATTCTAAACTCAATGGTTCTCAACCTTCCTAATGCTACAACAACCCTTTAATACAGTTCCTCATATCGTGGTGAACCCCAGACATAAAATTATTTGAGATGCTACTTCATAACTGTAATTTGCTAATATCATGAAATATAATATAAATAGCTGTGTTTTCCAATGGTCTTGGGGGAGGGAGTTGAGACCCCCCTCCCCAGGTTGAGAACCACTGCAAAAGCACCTTAGGGAGGAAAGGGTTTTTTCCAGCTGACATTTCCAGATTATATTCCATCACTGAGGGACTCCAGAGCAGGAACTGACACAGGAGCCATGGAGGAATGCCCATAGCCCAGGCTGACCTGCCCTAGGGCCGTTGCCACCCACAGTGGGCTGGGCCCTCCCACGAGGATCATTAATCAATACAATATTTCAGAGTCAAGGCCATAGGTCAACGTGATCTGGGCAACCCCTCCAATGAGGTGCCCTTTCCCTGGGTGGCCCATGGTAGGGTCAGTCTGATGATGATGACCATGATGATGATAGCTATAAAACCCTAACCAACACAAAGTTCATTTTAAAACTGGCAGATATCGAGGGTCATGCTGCTGGAGAGAAGTTTAGGATCTGCATTTCCAAAAGTTCTGCTTCCAACCAAACTTCACTTTGCAGAGAACAGGGCGGGTGAGAGGCTAAGGGGGTCTGGATTTGTGCTCAGCAGCTAGTGCTGTGATCACTTTCCCCATCTCTCCCGTGGGAATACTCATTTCTACTCTGACATTCTCCAGGGACCGAAGTCACCAACTCTACCTGTTGCTGAGCTCTGGTGGGTTCACCTCTCTTAACTTCCTCATCCATTGGTTCCAGGCTGGGAGTCGGGAGGGCAAAGGATGGGTGTACATGATAGCATCATTAGGCCTCCTCGCAGGAAGGAGGTCCAGCAAGGGCCCATTTCTGCCTCTTTCTGCTTTCTAGCTGCTGTGAGGTAAGTGGCCTCCCTCCAGCACATGGTCCTGCCGGTACATTACCCTTCTTTTCCTTAGGTGTGAAAGCAATGTGCCAGACAACCGGAGACTGGAGCCTCTGAAACTGTGAGCCAAAATATACCTTTCTCCATCTCATTTTACCACAGTGATAATGTTCATATGGGAAGGTACTGAGACATGCAACCAAGCAGTCAAAATTAGGAACCACGGAGTATGAGTTCATTAAATAATGACCAGGAGAAGGATGGGAAGGAACAAATAATATTGGCATTTCCTCTTGATCACATTTCCTGTCTGTGTGGCTAACGGGCTTCTGAGTTGCTACAAGTTAACTTGGTTAGAGTAATCCGATGTCATTCTGTCTCTAGCTGTGACTGAGCCTTAAAACAATGCTGCTGGTACCCAAGACAAAGCAATAGAATACAGTTGACAGAGCCTAATCAAACCATGACAGTCAGAGGATTGCCTAAGCCTACGATTCTTCTCCACTGCAGCTCAGCACCAGGATGGGCCTCTTACTTTCTTGAGGCGTCTGCTCGCCTAGTTAAAGCTGCCCTAGAGGTGGAGAATAGGCATTTACACGCGCGCGCATGCATACACACACACACACACACACACACACACACACACACACACCCTGGCTCCCATAGAGCTGACATAAAAATGATGCTGCAAATGGCATTTAATAAACTCCCAGGGTCCACGGTTACTCCTACGGTCGGTCCTCAGCTAGCACAACACCGGCAGAGGATCTTAGCAAGCTGCAAGTGAGGACTTTGGGGAACTCTGGGAAAAAGACACACAGAGAAAGACATGAAGGAATGAAAACAAATGTATGATGGTTTGGTTAGAAGATATACTAGAGAAGGAAAATAAAAGGGCATAACAACCCTGGGAGCGTGCGTGTGTGTGTGTGTGTGTGTGTGTGTGTGTGTGTGTGTGTGTGTGTGGCTAACCACGCAGAGAAGACTTGGAGCCTGCATCAGAAGCGAGTATTCCCCTCCCTGCGTTCAGCACGCTCACAACTGAAGCTCTTCGGGCACGAAGTTCGTTGTCTAATTGTTTCCACTCTTAGAATCACCCAAGAGTTAAAATGCCAATAGCAATCGCTGGAAGCTGTTTTTTTTTTTTTTTTTTTTTTTTTGTGACAACAGAAACATAGTGAGCGCTCTCCAACTAAAGCCACCTGTAGCTAAAGCTCCCTCAAAGGAGATGGCACTTCTGTTAAACATGTGGCATCATTACCCCCACCTGGGTGCTGGTGCTGACGTGGTATACAAAAGCCTCAGGAGCCTCTGGCCCCTCCCTCTGGCTTCCCCCAGTCCAGTAAACAGAGACAACAGGATGGCCGGCTGGGTACCACAGGTCATGCCTCCTTGACATTGCACATGAAGCTCATGACCCTTCCCTCCAACCCACGGGTCCCCCCCATTAGATGTCACCAATTTGGTCTCAAACACCCACAAACGTTAACCTGAGAGGCACCTGGGCGATCGGAAACCGAGGGCAAGGTCGGCAAGGGCTAAATAAAAAAAACTGGGGTGGGGGGAGGGGAGCTGTCAAAATCAGAGCCTACTACTTGTTAAAGGCAAAACTAAACAAACACTGCAGGGTTTAGATCACCCTAGTCAGAAGAAAAGGCAAGAATGGACAGCATGGCCTTGCCTATAATGGATGGAATGTGGGCAGGTGAGAGAAAAATCTGCGCCCATAAACGTACTTCGTTTTGAAAGTTTGGACAGAGGCTGTAATATGTTACAGACCGGGTAGAAGCTGCAAATTTTGAACTCTGTCAGAGCGATTGGTATTGATTTGGAGTACGGCTAAACTCCTTACCTAATGGCTCCTAATAAAGGAGACCTCCCTTCAGCTGGCAGAAAGATCGTTGCTATGCCCAATTTGATTTTCCTGAAGATCCACATGTTTCACGCCCCCAGGATAAAGTCCCAACAAGCTGTTTCTGGAATCAGGAGCAGCCACCTTTCCAGGCCTGCATCTTCCCACCTGTTCCCGAATGATCTACTGTGGGTGTTTTCTATGGGAACTTCTTTGAAAGTAACCAGGGTAAACGCCCCATCCTTGGTAGGCAAAAGACTGGCGACCACGGGAGAATGAAGAATGAAATTAACCACGCAGGACACTGCAGGTAATCAACACTTGTCAACGTAACTGAGATTCCTCGGTGTTCTGCAAACCAGGCTTAAGAAGATGCCTAGCACTTCCTTAGCAGCTACGCGCGGGGGCGGGTGTGGGGGGGAATAAGTCAACTCGGTCAGCCCCCATCTCAGAAATCCCCACACCCCTTCTCCAGAAGGCTGCACCTGGACTGATATGCTGGATCCAAACTCAGAGGAGGAAACCCACCTGCCTGGCTCCACCCAAGGCTCTGGAGCCTGTGATCTGGCACAGCCTACACATGTCCCCCCACTCCCCTCTTCCTTACTCCCAGGGTCATCCTGGGGGGGGGGGGCTGACATTCGAACAGCCAACCTTACAGGGAAAAACAGAGAGAGAGAGAGCGCGCGGGCTGGCATTATATAACAATATACACCAGAAAACGAAAGTCACCAAAGTAGAGGCCGGCGGGGGGAAGGCGAGGGGAGCAGGGCATCTTGGAAGCCACCACTTACTCGAAGGCGAAGAAGAGTCCGCTGGTGACCAGGATGAGGACGAGCGTCAGGTAGAAGACGCCGGTCTGCCGAGCCATCATGATCCTCCCGTTGCAGAAGAACTTGTTTCTCCCCGGGAACACCTCCCATTTCCTCCGGGCCGCGGTTTTCTTCTTCTTGTGGGGCGACTCCATGGGGGAGGAGCTGTGGGTGCTGATCTGGCTGTATTCGCAGTCTTTCATGGGCCCGCCGCCGCCGGGAGGCATCCACGAGGGCAGCCGGCTGGGGGCGCACACCCCCAGAAGCCCCCCGGCCGCGCGGGTCCCGCCAAGCCACGGCCGCCGCCGGCCACCGGGCCGGCCCCCGAGCCGCGGCGCTGTGACCCCTAAACGGGCTCCCGGCTGGGCGACAACTTTGCCGAGGACACCCAGGTTAACCCCTTGGGGAGCCCAGCTGTCATAGCAGAACCCGCTTTCCGGAGGGACGGTGTTAGTCCTCAGCCCGCGGCAGCGGTTCCCCGTGGCTTCCAGCCGGTGGATCCGGGCTGCAGGACCCCGTGGGGGCGCGGGGGGACCGCTCAGCAGAAGCCCCAAATCGCGGTGCGCCTGGCCCCACTGCCACCAAGCTCCGGGCTGCGCCTGGGCTCCGATCGCCGCGCCCAAGAGGGGACACGAGGCTGCGGACCCCACGCCGGCTCCCTCCGGAGCCACTTGTGCGCCTCGGCCAGGTGGCTTCCACTCCTTCCCGGCGGCAGATCCTCCCAGGGGAGAGCGCTGCAAAACTGGGAGGCAGCTCGCGGCACCGGCAACCCCTCCCAGGGGTGGGGACAGCCACGCGCGTTATTCTGTCAAGAGCTGTTCGGCAAGAGCCGGGGCGCTGCCCGCGCGGCGACCCCGCGTCAGCGAGCGGAGCAGCCGCGCCGAGTCCGCCGCCCCTTGCACGGGGCTCCCGGCCGAGGGTGGAGGAGGCGGCGCCCGCGGCTTCCTCGGTTCCTTCTGCCCGGAGGAGCCAGCCCTAGCTCGACGAGGGCCGCCGGAGGGCCGCGGGGACACTGCCACAGACACTTGTTTGCAAGGCTCAGCCTAGGCGCGCGCGCGGCGCTCGGAGCAGGTCCGCCTCCTCGCGGCCGGGTGGGAGGCGACGCCCGCGCCTCACAGCCGGGCTCCTCCTCCTGCTCCTCCTCTTCGCCAGCGAAGCCGGGGCACCGGCTCCCCGGGGTCCCTGCCCCAGTCCCCTCGGGTCAGATCGCAGGGCTCCGGGACTGGGCGCGCCCAGACGAAGGCGCCTGGCTCCCGATGACATCCTTCGCCCCAGGAGCGACCCGCTGGTTGCCCTCGGTGCTGGAGCGCCATGCGCTCCCCGCGGACTTCGGTCCGCTGCAGGCGTCTCCTCCGGATTATTCCCGGCAGCATCTGCCACCTCGGGACGTGCGCATCCTCGCGACCGCTCGCAAAACCGCCCTTGCATCTACCGGGGACCTGAGTGCCCTCGGCGAGAAGAAGTGACCTTCCCTGGCCTGCTCCCGGCTCGTCCTCTTCCTCCCCAGCGCCACGCGTGGCCGAAATGCTGGAGAAACTCTAGGGATGCCCAGAGGAGGGGTGGAGTGCCTGATGACAGAGTGATGAGCTGCGGCCGAAGCAGGCCAGGCTCCGGGACCTCGAAGGGCAGGGGTCAGCAGAGCGGTCTGTGTCCGCTCCAACAGCGACGAACTGGGTCCCTCTTTCGGATCAAGATCCCTTTGTGGCGGGCTTTGTGTGGTTTGCTGCCTCTCCTGTCTTTCATCCTCCACTTCTCCCCCCCCCCAACTGACGCTCACAGTGCTTCCGTTTTACTTCTGTCTCCTTCCCCTGTGGAGTCCCCACTCGGTAAAGGGACCTCACGTCTAGAAGATGCTCGCATTGGCCCTCTTTCTCCACCCCAGCCTCACAGTCGAGTGGACCAGTGGGCTCGAGCCGAGCACCAGAGAGCCCCAGCCGCCCACGCGCTTTTGCGCTCCTGGGCTTCTCTGCCCGGTGGGAGCGCTTAATGGGGCTGTGCACGAGGATAACGCGGGCTAAAAGACACGCGGGCTGCTATGCTCAATTTTCCGAGCCCTACTTTCTTTTCGGTGCCCGCTGGGATTTGTAGTTCCTTCTTTCCGCTGTCCAGCTCTGAGAGGGAACGTGACTTGTGGACTAGAACTACAAGTCCCTGCATCCCCTGCGATGAAGGGCGGGGGAGGCAAGGTACTGGACGTTCTGGTGTCCAGCATTTGGAGAGCAACAAAGACAGCTTTTGGGGAAGGTGCTTTCTCGTTGAGAGGTGGGCACCTGCGCACTACCCGCCTCGCTGGGTGATCCTCACCACAACCCTGCGATGCACACTGTTGTATCCAGCTCAAAGAAGCTGTTTGCCCAACAAAGCTGTTCAGTGATAGAGATGGCACTGGACCCAGAGCTCAGTTTCTTTTTCTTCCCCCCCCCCCTCAAAGCACGCCTCAGTGCTCAGTGTCAAAGGGAGATAAGCTTGGCTACCCAAAGGAGGAAAAGAATGTGTCTGAGCTGGGAAGTGGTGGGAATGGGGGAGGATGGTAGTAAAAATCACAGGAAGCTAAAAGGCAAATGTGATTGTTAGGGGATAGATAGGGCTTTTGCTTCGTTTAGTGAGTGGATGGGTGGTGAGTGGATGGGTGCGTTGCTTCTTTTGTTTGTTTGTTTGGAAAAAAGTCCTTGCTACTGTTGCATAGGCTAGTCTACAGTTCTGATTCTTTGCCTTTTGCATTCTGGACTACAGATATGTCCCACCACATCCAGCTAAGGATCTTAAAGAGACAACTGGAGTTAGCCTTCAATTATTTGAGATATATTTATGGCAGACAAGCATATGCAGAGACAATTATGTGCTTGCTAACTGTGCTATTTAAAAAAAAAAAAAAAAAAAAAAAAACCCTGGCATTTGTAACAAGCCATTGTTCTATCCTACTTTGTAGCATCTGTTGTCTTGGTGGCCTTAGAAATCACCTTCTCTAGGGACTGGGAATAGAGTACAGTACTTGCCTACTCTTACTCTTTACTAAACTGAATTTGTTTGTTTGGACTCTGGCACTGTTGAAAAGCCTTTGCCCTTTAGAGATGCATATTAAAAGTATCTGCAAGTGAAATGATTAAAAAGCCTAGATTGTACCTTTAGACACTTCAGCCTATCCACCTCCCACACACAAGAAGCTAGCAGGAACTCCGGGAACTCTTGGAAAGTGTTGACATTGGGCGATGCGAGTGTGTTTTGTTATCCAATGCTGCAAATTATCACAAACTTGGGGCCTGTGACACATGTGTACCTCACAACCTCTGTGGTTCAGGTATCCTAGTTTATTCAGTCTTCTGCCCACACCATCAAGGCAGAGACTAGACTGTGTCCTCATGACCACCAGAAGAATTAGCTTCCAAGCTCATTGAGGTCACTAGCAGAGTTCGTTTTTTTGTGCATGCGTAGGACAGCCCCCAGCTTCTTGCTGGTTGGCCACTGGAAATTGTCCACAGCTCCCAGAGGGCATCTGCAGTTCCTAGAGGTTAGCTGTAGTTCATTATCACCTTGGCATTTCCCAGAATCCACTAAGCCAACAAGGAAAGTCTGCCAGCAAGCAGGCTCTATACGATAGGGTCAAATGTACTTGCCCTATTAGCCAGAAAGCAAATCACAGATTGCAAGGTGAAAGGGAGACCTCAGGGGTGTGGACACTAGGAGTCTGTCCACCAAAGTGTGTACAAAGACTTACCCATCAAGTGTGCTTACTTTTGTATTTGGCATTTCCATATAAAAGGAAAGGAATTGTTTGTTTTAAAATTATATCTAGGGGGGTGGAAAGATGCCTCGGCGGTTAAGAGCACTTACCGCCTTCCTGTTAACTGTACAGTTTTACCATCCCCCTCAAGTAAACCCAAGCTGTCACCATCTTTGGCGCTCAGAGCCAACAGCTACCCTCCTTGCATCGGTGGTATCTCTGATGCCAGTGGTCTTTCCTGTTCTTGGCTGACTTGATAAACTCAGCAAGGACTGTTTTAAAAATAACACTGGAGGTTTCTCTCATCTGAGCTTCTCAAAGCGTCCCACAAGCCTCCTCGTTAGCCTTCAGACACCTTGAGGCAGCCACCGTGGAAGATGGCCCTACTCACTGCACAAGGACTGATACCTTGTCCTGTGTACATCTCTCCGCGCTGGCACAGATGTGCACTCAGGGTGGTAAAGAGCCAAGTCCTGGGAGAACGCTAGAGAACTTGAAAGTGAAACATTTCATTCCAAATAGAATTCTGCAGAAAATCAGATACCCTAATTCTTCCCAACCCAGAGACTCCGCTCATAGTTGTATGTATATTCAGTGGATCTGGGAAAGTTTAGTATCAAAATGCAAAGGGTTTATAGTTAACACACTTAGCATGTCACGGAAACAAACCGAGGTAAGGCAGGACACTTTAATGAGAAGTTTTCTGATAGTGTTTTCAGGGGCTAGAGAGGGCTCAGAGGTTGTGAGTTCAATTCCCAGCAACCACATGGTGGCTCACAACCACATGTAATAGGATCTGATGCCCTCTTCTGGTGTGCAGGTTTACATGCAGAGGATTCACACATAAAATATAAATCAATTTAAAAAATTAGATAATTTTTCAAGAGAATTTTCTGTCCTTTCACACACAAAAAAATGTTGCTTCAATATGTTTATAAAATAACACCACACTTTGAAACACATAAATGGAAAGAATGTACGATGACTCAAATTCCCACCACCATAAAGTGAGAGCCATGGAGATCATGCCACATGATTCCTTTTACATATGCACACCATTGTACACTGGTCATTTAACCAGAAAACAAAAACAATAGAATCATTTCAAGCCTGCTATCTTGCATGTGTGTATGTGTTTGGGTGAGTGCATGTGTGTATACATGCAATTGGAAGCGGAAGCGTGAGGAGATGGGGGGGGGGAGAGAGAGAGAGAGAGAGAGCAGTTTGTATTACACTTCCATCGGTTACCTAGATAATATCCTCTCTTGTTTACTTCCCGGCTCAGGAGCAGCCCAGAGTCAAACTTTGTCCTTTGTCTTAGGACTCTTCGTCCTCTCTTTGCGTTTGTTCATCTTGGAGTCATGAGAGAGAATGGCCACGCATTTTGTAAACAATATCCATTTGGGTTTGCCTGCTATTTCTTCGCAAACAGACTCAGGGACAGGCGCTCACGAGGCTCCAGCTGTGGCACACGGGACAGTGGTGGCAGGCAGCAGGCAAAAACGCCATTCCTGGGCTGCTGTGGGCTGAAACCGCGGGCGGGTACCGTCCCAGCTGGACTGCTGCCTTCTGGGCCTCCAGTTCTCAGAATGAGCCCATGTGAAGGTGTGGTGTTACCCTCTGTCTGCCCGAGCTGGGTAAATCTGGAGTGTGGGACAAACACAGCCAAGCCTGGCACCCCACATGCAGGTGCTTGTTCCAGGGAAGACAAAAAACGATGCACGCAGAGCCGCAAAGGTCCCAGGTGATGTTGCTGATGAATTGTAAAGCGTGCCACAGCAGCACCTGCTCTGATGTAAAGGGAAGGCTCTTCTGACTTCAGGCCCCGGGGCAGACGGCAGGTGCACACAGCGAGGCTCTGAGGCTCCAACTGCAGCTGGGTTCCAACTGGGCTCCCTCAAGCCCTGCTCTGCGCACTCCACACCCACTCGCTGGCCAAAGAGCCCACGCAAGACAAAGAAGCTCTGTTTCCCTTCTGGAAACAGGGCTTAGTCAGAGGGTCCTTGGAAGAATGCAGAGAGGATCTCAGAAGTCTCGGCTCTCGTGTGTGAAGAATGGGTCTGGGACTCGTGTGTGAAGAATGGGTCTGGGAAGCTGGTCCTGGTTGGGGTCTCGGTGTGTGGGAGGAAGCGGCAAGAGAATGGTTAGTTCTTTGTCAGCCCCGGCTGCATGACAAGACAAGCTCAAAGAGAAAATGCCTGTTGTTACTTCAGGGTTAAACTTAGTGAAACAACCTACACCACTTTTATTTTGTCTCTGGGTTCTGGGAAGTGACTGTGGGCACCCAACAAGAACAAAACTCTCTTGGACGATGTAACTGATACTGTCTACCTCAAAGGTTCGATGTGAGATTTATGATCATCATCATCATCTCAGAGACAAAGGCTCTCTATGTAGCCCTGGCTGGCCTTTAATTACTGTGTAGACCAGGCTGACCTTGAACTCACACTAAGCCACCTGGTTCTGCCTCCCTCATGCTGGGATTACAGGTGGGCTCCACTTAGCCCGGTGACTGGGAGGTTTCCTTTGGGTTTAGCGTGCAAAACTCTCCGGTGTGCAGGAGAAGTTATTTGTGCTTTCGTTGTTTTCAATTTACTAGTTTTCACTAGGCATATTATAAAAAGAAGAAAGTAATGTGTTTATCGGGCTGTCTACTGGTTCCTGCGGGGTTCTTAGCAATAGCCTGATCACTGACATCCAGAAGGGGAAATCTGCATGTGTTTGTTCCCTTGCAAACATCTGATAAGTGCAAGCCAGTAAAATCTGAAGGTCATTCCTACTTGGGATATAAAAGAAAAAATGAGGGTATATGTCATTATAGATGAGTCATTAAGAAAAAGAAATTGTACATCTTTTAAATTTTTTCATTTTTGTCACTTTCTATTGTTCATATGATGTCTGCCCTCAATAAGAATACATTTCTAATTTGTTCTAATATAGACTAATTTCTGGGTTTACTTCCGAATGTAATATAGCCATTTACACTCTAAAGATCTGATGATTTTTTTAATAACATAAACATACCTTTTTCCAATAAGCTATGTTACTTCCAGCCTTCTGATAGAGCTGTGATGAAGAGATGCTGTGTCTTTCTCGGTATCCTGTCAAAAGACGTCAGTTTGTCCAGTAATCCGCGATGCTCATTTTGAACACTGGGATAAGGAGGTTTTTCCAATTTGAAGTTACTAGTTCTCCTTTAACAGCTCTAACAGTGAAAACGGTAACTGATTTGAACACACACTGGTGATTTCCTAGCCTGCTTCCTTCCTTGCTTGCTTCTTTCTTCCTGCCCCTTCCCTCTCTTCCTCCCTCCCCCCCCTTTCTCTCTCCCTTTTTTCTTTCTCACTTTCTCATAAAGAAACGTATCCTCTGTCTCATTATCAACCGTCAGCACATTCTGGTGTGCTTGGACCAGCATGGCCTGAGGTGTGTATTTTATTCAGTGGGTTATTATTTATCAACATGTATAGTTATTTTGATATTGAAGTTGTTCCAACTAAACTCCCCTGTACCTTGGCACTTGCTTCCTGCTCTTTGACTCAGCCCCATCGTCCGGGCTCATGTTAGACTTCTCCTGTCTTAACTCTGCAGTCTGACATTTCTCAGAGGGATCCTAGTTTCTTTTGGTAGAAAAGACATGTGTGTTTTCTATTTCCATTTTTCTAAAAAGATGAGTGTGTATGTATATATTTCCTTCACCACCAAAAGCCATTTCCTCAAACTTATATGTGCAATTGTAATTCAAAACTGTAATCTATGTTCTATGCTTTTTGCTTTCTATGTTTGTAGATTTTTTTCCCTCTCATAACTCTCAATATATTTTCCTTGAGCCTAGAATTTAAAAAATGAATTCTTGGCGTTCTATAATAAATACCAACCTGCCAGGCAAGATGTGTCCGTTGGTACGACGGTGGCAGAGCTTCTCTGGAGTTACCAACCATTCCGTGCCTGACTTGGAGGCCTGATTCACAAGAGATAACACATGCCTTGTACTGTAAACCAGTCAAAATGTGAATAAGAAATCTTGGGCCCTGAGGTGGAGGGCCCTGCTACTGCCGGTTTGCTAAACGGACACAACATCAAACTACTTTTTAAATATTTATGTACGTACTCCAGACAAACACTTACATGGAGAAGCCTATCCTTGCAGGGTTCCACAACTGTGCGAGATGCTGAGAATAAGAGACGGATGGATGAAGGCTCAGCCCTGAACGGGACTTTGCCGTTATCAGTGACCCTCCGGCAAGGTGGCCCCCGTCAAGGGGAACAGTGTGAGGTTATCAAGCAAGGGAGCCAGAACAAGGAACCGAAACTGGTATTCACCAAACAGAAAACATGTATTACTCAGGGGTCCCCGAGAGAGTAAAGGTCACTAGAGGAGGCTGCTGGGGAGTCTGGAGGAGAGGAGGCGCCGGGGAGAAGGGGGGCAGAGAGACTACATCTTTATTCGTGTTTACCCTTTGAGTATTCTTCAGGGTTATGGACAGGCTAGTTTACAGAAAGCACCTCCGGAGGGGAAACGTTTACGTGGTGGCGGGTAGAGCTCAGTTAGCAGCTGTGAGCTGTGATATGTTGGGGTTTGTGTTAGGGAAGTGAGAATCTGCAACTGTATCAGAAACAACCACACAGGAGGGGAAGTCTGAGCTGAGCCAAAGATGGTGGCATTGACAGGATGTAACAACTCATGCTGGGCCTACACGTGGGTGCCAGAGCAGCAGCTACATTAACCAGACAGGACAGCATCCTGGCATTTCTCCCAGTGTTAGACGCGAAACATCGACTTCTCCATCATTAAATATGGTGCTATTTTTAGGGTTTACAGATGCCCTTTGTGAAACTGGGGAAATTGCCTTCTATTTCTGGGTTTGCTGGGAGTTTGTGTTTGGGTGTTTGACTGTTCCCAGATGTTGTCCTCACCTGTTGACACGATTCACTTTCTCCTTTGGTCTCTAAATATGAGGAATTGATTGAAAGCTGAATACTGAGAGACAACTGCACATTTCTGAGTGTTTGGGTTTGAGCCTGAAAAGTTTCCCATGGGCTCACCTTGCCCCCAGGGGGTGACACTGTCCTGGAGGCTTGGGGGGGGGGCTTTAGGAGATCTTTAGGATGTGGCGTGGGGTCAGTCCTCGAAGGCCACAAACAGCCCTTCTTATGCACTGTTGTGCCTATGCCGGAAAGCAAGCCCCGAGTCCCACCAGCTAACTTCTGATTGGTTCCTTGCCTGGAGGATGTCTGCTCTCCTAGTGGCTAGGGCAGGCCCAGCAAGGTCAGACATGTGCTGAGTCAGAGGCCTACCTGTCTTTCCTGCAGTCTGTCATGGCTGCTAAAGTGGGGGGTAGGGATGGGGCGGCTGGTCCCTTCACCCCAGAGGCCCATATACTGAGGACCTGGTCACTGACTAGAGGCACTGGGGGAGGAGGGCATACATCTTTAAGAGATGGAGCCTGGTAGAAAAAATAAATACATTAAAAGCTAGTCATAGCAGGTGGGTGTGTCCTTGAAAGGAGTACAGGAATCCTGGGAACTTGGGGCCCCTCCTTTCCCTTTGCCCTTTCCCTTTGCTTCCAGGCTACAAGGTGAGCTGCTTCCTCCTAGCTGCTCCCTGTCTGATATGCTGCCTCACTACTGGACCAAACACAGGCCAGCCAGCCCCGGACTGTCATGAAAACCAGCCTGTCCTCGGCTGAGCTGACTGTCTTGGATGAAGTGACTGCAGCTGCCTGAGCATGTCTGCCTCACCCTGAAGCTACAGTAACTTAGCCCTAGAGTGCTGTCCTCTGGAGCTCGCTGAATGCCTCGAGGGGGCCAGGGTTCCTTTTCCTTGCACCGAGGTCTAGAAAACCGCCAAAGAAAATTCATCTCGCTCTCCGCTGCTACACAACATCCAAAAGCAGCTGAGTCTTATACTGCATTCTGTTTTCTGTTTACATGGGGTGGGGGTGGGGGGCTTGTATGCAGTTACTTTCCTGGCCTGCAGTAGGGTCACATGACAGACTTTACAACTGCCCTGTGGATCTATCCTCCACTGCGCCATACCAGGAAGCTTCCACATTGACTTTCCTCTTGTGGATGGATCAGTAGGCTTCCTCAGGCCACTTCCCTTCCAGGAGACCCTTCTTGATCATCCTGAGGGGAGGGGCCTTGTGCCAGCTTCCTGTTTGGATGCTTAGAGGATCTGAAGCTAGCACTAGCCCTTGAAGCATAGCTCTAACATCAAATCAGAGTAAAAGTTGGCAGTTAAATTGGAATTGGAAGGGAACAGTGCTGACTTATCCAAGCTTTACTTTTTTTTTTTTTTTTTTTTTTTTGCCAAATTCAAATTTAATCTATATGATCCTTTTTATACTCAAAGTTTTCTGAGTATAATTTAACACGGAAAATGAATTCTTTGTCACTTTTATTCAATGTGCATCCAAATACAACCCCTGAACAAGATTCTTTGTTGTGTGTGAATTTATAATTAAATACATGGCTTTTAAATGTCTACTAAAGGGCGTCATTTGCACAGTTTAGGCTTTGGATAAGAGCTATGAGTTGAACATCTCTGTCCTTCCTTTCCAAGTTCATATGTTGAAGATCTCATCCTAATATAATGAACAGTCTTTTGGTGACTATAATATATAATGAATGGATATCATATATAATGAAGTTATTTGGGAAGTAAGTTATGTCATGAGGTGGGGTCCCATGAATAGGACTAGTAACATAACAAGAAATATGAGAAAGCATAGTTCATAACCATTTCTAGACCTATATTCCTGTATGAGCTCCCATACATGCAAGATGCAATGACTAGTTGACTGCTTGAGAACCAGGAAGACAGCCCTTGCCAGGAACCAAATAGTTTGGTTCCTAGGTCCTGGGCATCTACTAGGTTCCAGAACTGTGAGGAAAAATGTTCCGTAAGCCACTTGGTTTATGATATGTCATGACAGCAGCTTGGACTGACTAAGAATGATTTCCTCAGACCTCCTCCCCACTGCCTTGCCGAACATTTGGTGAGGAGGCAAAACCACAGCTAAACAATGCCAAAGGCTGGTGCGGAAGTGGAGCTGAGGTGCCCCTGAACATTATAGAATACTCTGTGTAGGAAGACATGCCCAAGGCTACCTGGACCATGTTTCCAACAGTACAAAAAGAAAAATCAAATCTAGAAACAGCTCATATGTCCATTTGTAGGAGACTATACATAAAGAAAATGATGGCTAGTTTATGTAGTATAACAGTATATGAGTGAAACAAAGTAATTTTTAGTGTAAGAATTTTTCAATAACATTCAATAAAATGAGGGACTTTTCTGGAGGTTATATATTATGCTATTTTATATTAATCATAACAGGGTATATTGTTTATGGTTAAATACACACATGCTGAAATCTGAAAAAAATTAAAGGGATGCTGAATATAAAAGTCTGACTATTTTCTATTTCTGCAAGGCTGGAGGAGAAGAAGATGAAAAAAGGATTAGAATTTTAAATTGAATGTAATGGTTTGTTTGTTTTTAAGATGCATAGTGGGTAGAGGGAAGATCACTGTATTTTTATTATATTATTATCCAAGGCTTTTAAATCCCAGCAATGTTTCTTCATTAAAAAAAGATTATGCCTTTATTTTCATACCCCAATTTGTTTTGAAAAGAGTAAAAATGTTTTCAAACACTGTTGTCTCAGACGAAAAAATTCACCCTCTGCAAACCACTAATGTAAGGGAAATTTCCTTCTGACACGTCTGATCTTGAAATCAGTGAAGTCCTTTCAGGCCTAATTCTGTGCGTCTAGAGGAGGCCTGTACTCATACTATGACATACAACAGTTGTTTTGTTATAAATAGAGTGAGCCATAAGGTTTGAGCAAATATGGAGTGGTTATTCATGAATACTGTGAGCCTTCCCAGATGCTCTTCTCTGCACTCAGGAGGCACAGGCAGGTTTGAGGCTAGCCTGGTCTACCTAGGGAGCACTAGACCAGGAAAGTTACATGGTGAGACACTGTCTCAATAAATCAAAAGTTAGAAATAAAAAGCTGACTGCTACATATGCATAGAATGGCATACTCTTTATCAGTTTACACAATTGTTCATGTATAAATGACTGACATTAGGTTTACAATTTTGTGCCTGCATGTTTTAACCTTTCAAAATATAGCTGTAGTGTGGTTGGCTCAATATTTTTGTTGTTATTTTAAGAGACCAGGCTTGCCCTGAATTTACAGACATCCATCTGCCTTTGAGGAATGACCATCATACCCAGCTTGGCCTATGATTTTAACATACATGCAAACACATGGACTTGATAGGAATGAATATAAAGAGCAGTGATAGAATGCGCTCAGGGCAGAACCTCGGGCAACGATGACATTGAAGGGACAGAAGCCAGCAAACCCAACGAAGTCATCAGTCAGGGAGAGAAGATGCCAGAGCAGAGCTCTAAGGAAGCAGAGAAAGGGCAAGGCTTTGAAGGGAACAGGGTGTTAAACCCTGCTCAACGCTGCGGAGAAGGGCCATGTGGAAGCTGGCAGGAGTGTCGCATGTGGCCACCAGAAAGTCACACCGCCCTCTGTGAACTGGAAGGACGGGGGGGGGGGGGGGTTTGAGAGGCAGGCAGTTGGGGGTTTAGGGAAAGAAAGTGCAGCAGGGAAGCCGTGGAAGTGAGCAGAATAGGAGACCTTCAGGTACAGAAGCCCATTGTCTTCATCAGGCTAGGAATAGCCTTATAGGTTGTAGGGATGGTGGTTGCCCTAGAAACCCTAGGAGGAGCGCCTTAGCAACGTGCGCTGGTGCGCTTTGCCGAAGACGTTCTCGGCCCCATCCTAGTTCAATCTGTCAATTAGCCGGTGGTCTCTGCTTAATGGGAAAGCTGTTTCCATAACCCGCGGCCTTGACAGTGAAATCACTGAGCAGCTCCTTCGCAATGACAGCTACTGATACAATTTGCTGTTGAGAGGCTGCTCTAAAGAGACAAGAAAGAAACTCATCTGGCCACTGCAGAACCTGCTTCCTTGTCTGGTTCTCTAACCTCTAGCCCAGCAACCTTAGGATAAGGACACAGTGAAAACTAATCAGAACGGAGGGTGTGGGGGAGGAGGCTTGGGAAGTGGGCCAGACCTGCTTGTTTTTCTCTTCCCCTTCTCTGGCTAGTTCTGAAAAAGCACACCATACTTTCCCATATACCTCCACATTCACTTGACTCGTTTTTTTGGTGTTTGTTTTCTTTCTTGTTTGTTTTTGAGACAGGGTTTCTC